AGACAACCCCGTAACAATATGCGTTTTGTACTGCTGTTACACAGCACAAAACGCATAATAAACAGAGATTGCAACTGAAATAAATAGCGAAGTGCACAAGGGTAGCCGGTGCGATCATGCTAAAAATATAACTGTTTTACACTTTCATAAAATAGTAGATATACTTTTACGGTAAGGGATTTTTCACTGAAAATTTCACGTGCCGGTACGTGAAAACTGAATCTGAAAACATGGATGGGGAACATCCCTCCAAATTTCAACCTCCTAGTTCCCCGACTTCCGAGCTAGTAACTTTCACACAAAAATTCTCACGTGGTCTTACGTAACAAATCTACATAATTGGAAGCTAAATTTGAGTTTGTGAGATACCTGCAGCGGCAGAAAATATCATCCTGAAATTTCGGTTTTCCAACTTTCATGGTTCCCGAGATAATTTTTCGTCAAAACTTTTTCCCTGTACGCGACACTTAAGCACACGAAAAATCTGAATCTAAATTTTCTGGACTACACGTGGTCAAGAGGCATAGCATAAAATTTCAACTTCCTACCCTCCGCGTTTCCTGAGACAATGATTTTACCCGCTAAAACTTTTAAGAGGCCGTACGTGTTACCCGCAGGTAGAGGAAGGTTGATTTTGAGTTTTCTGAGTCGCATGTTATCAGAGGACATACCCGTAAAATTTCAGCTTTCTAGATTCCGTGATTCCCGAGACATTGATTTGACCCGCCAAAACTTTTACTGGGCCGTAGATGTTACTCGCAGGTACGGGAAGGCTGAATTTAAACTTGCCGTGTCACCCGCCGGCGGGGAACACTAAATAAAAGTTTCAGCCGCCCAGCTTTTGTGGTTCCCGAGTTAAAAGTGCGGGACAAAATGTAGGACACACACACACAACCTCGTGACAATATGCGTTTTGTACTGCTGTTAAACAGCACAAAATGCATAAAAAGGAACGCTGAATAGGAATGTTTCGGTCCATTAAGTCGTATACATTGTAAAACAGTACCATGCGACTGGACTGTACAGTTCCTAGGACAGTGAACTGACCCGATCGTCGTCATCGTCGTTGTCAGCGTTTACACCATTGGCAGCAGTTGTCGTCAAATCACCACTGTACGGTAAGTGCAGATTGGCTGAGGAGTGAAGCTGCGGCACGTCAAGCTTATCGAAGCTATAATAGCCATTGTTCAGTACCGAGCAGCTATTGCGGCCCTCATTCGTCCGTCTTCCACAGATATTCATATTTCGTCCCTGAAAAAAAAAAAAAAAAAGACCATGAGAGAAATGAATGCGGGAAAAACAACGCTCGAATTAATACACGCATGTGGGTGTATGTGTGAAGCAAAGAAATATACGCATACCAGTAAGTACGTGAACAAGTCAAATTAACAGAATTATGTATGTATGTAGACATACATGTCTGTGTCTGCGAGTGTGCGTGTGTGTGTGTCTGTGTGTATGTCTATGTATATGTTTTTATATGTGTCTGTGAATGTGTGCAGACACGTAAACTTATATGTGTGTTTGTGTATAAGTTTATGTTTCTGTAAACCTTTAGAAACATATTTATGTATGTATCCTGCATTTGTGGCCAAAGTGAGTGTCTGAGAGTGTGTATGTCTGTGAATGTGTTTGTTTGTGTGTGTGTGTTTGTTTATTTGTGTGTGTGTGTATGCGTCTGTGGATTTTTTTTGAATGTGTTTGTGTATAAGTATACGTGTACTTCTGCAGGCATTTTAATGTGTGTATTTACATGTGCAGACAATATGTCTGTATGTATCTGTGAATGTGTTTGTATGTGCCTACGAATGTGTTTGTGTGCGTCTGTGAAAGTGTGTGTGTCTATGAAGGAGTGTGTGTGTGTGTGAGTGTCTATGTATGAGTGTACATGTATGTGCACCTCTAATGTGTATTTATGTATATATGCGCATAGGCACGGGTCCTGGATGGACTCTGGAACTGTGCAAAAACTAGGAATAGAGTGTTGTAACACAGTGCTACTTAGAGTTACTTTAGTTTTATTATGCGTTTTTTGCAGCTATGCAATGCAGAAAACGCATAATGACGAGGGGTTGTCTGTGTGTCTGTATGCCTGTCTGTGCGTCTGTACCGATTTTTCATCTCAAGACCTACAAAAGCTACGGGGCTGAAACTTTGAGAACTTAATCTACATGCACGTACGGCCCCAATCCCCAAAATGGGCGTCCTTATACGCGTGGTGCTCACGTACGAGCCCGCCAAAGTTTTTTACGGGTAAGTTCATAACTAGGGAACGTGAGAAGCTAGAAGACTGGAATTTTGAAGGGATGCTTCCTGACAGACATGGTAGCCAATCTGAAATTCTTTTAGTTAGAAGCATCTGCCGGAAAAACCAGTGCCGTTAGCGGCAAAAATCTGCGGGGAGCTATGCAAAAAACGCATCTTCGCACAGGCAGACCGTGTGTTGGTCAATTATTTGCGAAGAGACCGAGGCTTTCGCAGCTCTGCTGCCCCGCCCTTCTGTCTCGTCCCACCCCGTGGACCCCCCGCCTATGTCCCCCAAGCAAAATTAATGAACGAATTGGCACTGTCGGGGTAACGTCCACATAGGGCCGTTGTTTGTGATTTTTAGCGATTCATCGTTGCACCTGGTTGGCGGCAATTTTCTGCATAATTTGAATATGGCCCGCTTGGCGGTCATTTTTTGGTCAGTGGTGGAGGATGAGGGCGGTTGTTCTCTGATCAGTGGTGGTGGACGGGTGACCAGTGTTCTTGGGCTCGTTGTTGATGGCTTCATTCAAGTGCATCCGCTTAGGGTCATTTCGCCTGTGTGTGTGTGTGTGTGTGTGTACATCTGCCTCATTCCGGGCCTGTACCACCCATTTGAAAATTCCGGAGAAATTAGGCAATACTGACCGTTGATTAGGGCTGGTGTGTGTGCGTGCGTGTATATATATATATATATATATATGTGCGTGGGTGGGTGTGTGTGCGTGTGTGTGTGTATGTTTGTGCATATGTGTATGTATGTTTATATATGTGTGTATGTGTACATGTGTATGTCCTGTGCTGTGATAATAGAAAAAATATTTTAACGTTGTAAAAGGGAAAGGCAAATAATATTAAGAAATTAGTAAAATTTGCGAAATCTAAAATATATATTGTAATTGGTAAGAAATGTTTCGGTCCATTAAGTCGTATACATTTCGTACCGTTACCACAATTCGACCTCGTCAGTATGACGATTGTGGCAATTAGTATAAATTTGTGTGATAATTAGTGTAAATAATATCATTCTGGGCCTACGTAACTTTTACGCAATGTTTTTGTACGACAGATATCGCTAAAATTTCTAATAACACAAGAAGATAGAAGATAAGGGATTAATCAAGATAAGCACTGTTGCTGTTATTATGATTGATTGTCATTGTTATTATCGCTATTATTATTGTCATTATTATTATCATTATCATTATTATTGTTGTTATCATTATTATTATCAGTTTTGTTGATACCATATGCAAAAAAAGACATGTCAGAAAGCACTCTCTGTTTCATCCCCTAGCGCTAAACATAGATCGAACGCGTAGCATGCGGTAGGCTTTGGAATCATCAATACAGACTCCTACCAGCACCTGTATATAGTAAGCAATTGCGCAAAAGTATTGAGAAAGTAATATAGTATTGTAATATTTATGTGATACTACTTCACTTTCGCCTTTCTCCGATTACGCAAGTGATTCTCCTGTTATGCTAACTTTCCATGCAACCTGTCTGTGCTTTTTTTTACAGTGACTCGTGCATTTTGTACGATTTCTCCAACAGTTCCGTTTCAAAATGGATCCGAAGCGAACTGGCGCCATTAAGAATTTGGTAAGTGTTTTCTTTACGTCCGAATGAACGTGATATTGTACCACTATAAATAGTTATATCGGTTTTACTGATGTATTTTTATTGCGCTTGCTTACCTGATACTTGAAATGGCTCCTTGTTCGCGATCGAAACATCACTGGCGTAGCCGAAAATCATACTTGTATATTTCTTATTTCATGATTGCATCGCCGAGTGATCAGATTTCTGACGATTCTGACATTTCTTGCGCCTTTGTCGCGAATAACTTGCGAAAAGCCGGCCAAAAAGCAGCCACAAAGAAAAAAAGAAAGAAAGGTGTATCTTGCCTCGAAAGGCACGTACACAGCAGATGTGCTGTCAGGCTGAACATGGAGCACAAGGACCGGTGGTGCAGTGGCAACACACTGCGTCTCGGCGTAAAGAGGAGTGGTTCGATTCCCTCCAGGTCCAAGGCGATTTTTGGAGAAAGGGCGTCGTTCACGACAGCCTCCTAAAAGGCTCGGTGGCTCTCCCGGCAGAAAGCTGTAGCCAGGTTGAAGACTGCCCACACCCTAACTGCTACTCGCGTCTAAAAGGGGTTCGAAATCCCGTGCTGCAGTTGCTAAATTTTGAGCACGGAATTGTTTGAATTACGGATAATTCTTGTGATAGTTATTATGCTGTGATCCCTAAAATTCGGAAATAGTGCTGATGAGGGCTTCGATGCCCTCCCGGTGCGAACGTTTTGCAAAAAAGGCTCCGTTCTTTGGTGGATGGCACATAATTTTTCAGGAGGCAATTTTTTTTTCTTTTTTTTTTGGTTTTCAGTTTGAGCAGCTGCTACAATCGAAGTTAAACATTGATTCGGTGGACGGTTGGGCAGCACTCTGGAAACGACATATTCCCACCGTCACTTTCCTCATGTAAGCGTTTTTCTTTTTTTATCGCTGTAGAAACTTTAAAGATACAAGCACGGAATATCCCTGGCTAGGAGGTTAGAAGAGGACGGAGGCCTAAAATCGTCTATGTTTTAACATATGCAGTTTGTTTGGCATTGCTGGTCCACCGCGGAGAGAAACACAGCCGAATTTTGATAATTAATGGCAGCACTAGAAATCTCCCATATAGGCAAGCCTGTATGTACAGTGGTTTGGTAACCTGTGTCTGAGTTTCATCCCTGAGCTGTAAACATAGATGGCAGAATCGGTGCTAAATGGGATGGGAATCATCAGTAGCCGATATTTCATTATTTTAATTCTTACACCGGCAACGCAACTCGCTCGCATAACAGTGGATCCGTCACCACTGTTCTCCTGGCTTCTTTCCTGTCATTCATCTTTGCAGCCTTCTGTACAGCTCTGCCTGCTTCCTGAAATATCAAAATCCAAAAATTTCCTCCGAATCCGCTCAACCTGAAAGATGGGGGCATTCACGAAGTAGTTTCAATGGTAGCAAATAGCAAAGACAAATTACCAGCTGGCAAGGCTGTCGATGGTCCCCACTTTTTGAAGCTGATTGCTGTTTTTGACTCCCGGACATGCGTTTTTAGGGCAAATTTACACCACCAAAACTACAGATGAACGAATCGTAAAAGAATTAGTTGTAGAGAAATGACAGAGCTGTCTCCTCCCCCTCGATCTTCTGTACCCGGGTTTAGCACTGTTTGACGCTGGCCTTTGCTCGGAGCTATAAATAGAAAGTTATAACAAGAAGGAATGAAATAAAAAAACAAATGGAAAAAAAAGATAAGAAATGAAAATTAGAAAATTTGTGAGTTTATTATAATGGTAAGAAATGTTCCGACTCATTAAGACGTATACATTTCTTACCGTTACCACAACTGGACCTCGCCAGTACGACGATTGTTGTAAAGACGCTTTTTTTGAATATACATCGCTTTCTCGAACTATTCATTTTTCAGAAGCAGTGGTACTTTGCGAGTGCGCGAGGCGAGCACGAGCACCGAAGCCTATGCGAATGCTTTTGAGGCTTTGCAAAGCCAGTCAGTTGATTGGGCGCTGTTGGAGCAGCTCAAGCCCGAGTTCGCCGCAACCGGAGATAATTTTGAGGTGGCGAAATTTCTGGTCGTT